TTCATTATGAGAACATGGTAACATCTCTGTTATCAGACACTAAATAATGAATTTTATGTGAAAACATTTGGGATGGGTGTAGAAATACACACACACACACACACACACACACATATTTAACAATATTTTTGTTTGTGAAACCACAATTTGCTCTGTTTTTAGAAAGAAAAACGTAGTTTTACAGTATTCCAGCAGAAGGCCCGTTTTTATTTTTGATATGAATTTTTTGTATCAATTTTATTATACCAGAATTTAAAATTGCAAACATCCCATCTACTCTGTACTACTTTAAATACTTAATAAACCCAGTTCCAAAAATAAAGTTCAAACATTTCAAAGTCTTAATATATATCTTAAGTTCTTCCAGTTATAAATAATTCTAGTAGTCATTCCTTGCATTTTTGTAAGTGATTTAATACTCGGAAGTAATAAACTGAAAAGTAAGAAGATGTAAAAATCAATAAAATAATATTTATTTAAACCTGATAAAAATGCATATTTTACAGTCCCTTGTGGAGGCAGTGGTCAGTGGACACAGCAGATAACACAATGCAGCTTTACTCTAAATAAAACAAATTTTTTGTCCCCTCTCCCATGATGGGCTTATAATGCTAGAAACTGGGTTTTGATACTCAAGGTGAGCATAGCACAGATAGACCATTGTTTACTTTTTTTGCTTATCTAGAAATAAATATAATTTATATACAGAATGACATATTCCAAGTAGCTAATATCTTTTTTTGAAGATGAAAATAATGGGAAAAATCAAATGACAATCAGGTGAAACATGATATTTTACAAGACATGATAGAGACACCAGAGTTTGTCATTTAAACATGGTAGGACCATATATATATATATATATGTATATATATATAGTTTATATTTTGAATCAGGTAAAAACCTAATTTGGTAAGAAATGTATTCTGCCTGGTTTTACATGCATGTACAACACTGCTATGTTTTCAAAATATTTTGAGAAGAACAACCAATAAAAGACCCAGCACCACTTAATTTCATAGTGCAATGCTGTGTGGGACTTGCCAAAGTCAGCAGCTTTCACAACTGACCAGTTCAAGTGAAGATAACTGGCTGAGAGAAGTTTATGGGCCTTTATTTTGGATTTTTTTTTTTTTTTTCTTGATGTGTTCTCCCTTTTTTCCGAAGTTCAGATAGAGGAGAAGTAACCTTCAGAATGCTCACGGTTACTTTTAAACTTCAAACTCGTTTAACGTAAGCAAGTTTAACGATTTGAAACCCCTACCAAACTAAAACTAAACTTTTTGGATGCATTATGGGAGAAAGTCCAAAACATTTTTAGATTACCTACCCATTGCCAAACCTGCTGTACACAGCGTGGTCACAAGTAAACAGACACCACCTTTTCAGAAAAAAATGAAATTTTCCGTCATATTCACAAAAATTGATATATTTATAATTTAATTAATATCTAGTGGATTTTCGTTTCGTGGAGTTCGTTGATCCTTTGGAGCATCGTGAGAATTATCTCGTCAATTTTAGATTGTGGGATTTTTGCCCACTCTTGCTTCAAAACTTGGAGTAGATCGCTCTTCGAAGTTGGTTTTTTGGTTGTTTCTTGACTTGCCGGTCGAGTATGGCCCAGAGGTTTTCAATGGGGTTCATGTCAGGAGATTGGCTCGGCCAGGGCAACTTCTGGATACAATTTTCTTCCTGCCACTTTTGGGTGTTTCTAGCAGTGTGACACGGTGCTCCATCTTCCTGGAACAACATTGTGTTCTTGTCCACGAAACCCGAGGAATAAAGTGGCAAGAGTCCTTCCTCCAATATTTCGACTTATTCCGCAAAATTTATGTTGCCAACGCACTCCACTAAGCTCGATCTCCCACCAACCCAAACAGCTCCCCAAACCATCACGCTGAAATCACCATGCTTCACAGTTGGCTGTAATCTGTTGAACCCAAACTCTTGGTGAGGCATTCTCTCCAGACCCATATCTTTCCACTGTCCGAAAATTGAGTGAATCTTGATTCGTCTGAGAACAATACGGTCTTCCAAAAGTCCAGAGGCTTGGTCATCATATAACTTGCCCACGTCTTTCGTCTGACAATGTTGGCAGGTCTTAATAAGGGCTTACGTCTAGCTGCTCTTCAACGATAACCCAATCTGTGGAGAATCCGTTGAACAGATTTCGGGCTCATCCCACCAACTTTGGCCACTTCTGCAGTCGTTAATCTGGGATCCATAACGATGCTCCTCTTGACAGCCCTTTTTGTCCTCTCCGATGGACCAGGACGACTCGGACGCTGCTCAGTTGTTTCCTTGCCGTGTTTCCTGAACTGTACGATGATTCTGTTGACTGTTCGAAAGCGGGATTCCCAAATTCTGCGAAATTTGCCGCTGACTTATTCCACCATCTGCTTTACCAACTATCCTTCCTCTAACAAAATCTGACAATTCGAGAGAATCTTGAGTTCTGGGCACGTTGTAGCACAAGATAATTAGTGTGCGGACAATTTTCATTTATATAGTGCTCTGTGAACACAAATTAGTTAGCATAAATCAGTTAAATGACGAAAAATTAGGTGTCTATTTACTTGTGACCACTCAGTGCACATGGGCGTCCGCAAAAAATTATTTTGGGAAGGAGCAAAGTAATGTGAAATTGTGAATTGAATAAAAAAACTCGTATACATATTCTGAATGAATAAAGAAAGAATGATGTTTCTCATTTTCTGTGGGGGGGGGGGGATGCCCCTCCCCTTCTGCTGTTTGTATTGCACTGAAGGAATAGCATCTTACTAAACATGTCAACCTGATATATGTTCACCCAGCCATTCAAAATCTATTATTTTTGGCCCATGTTAACAAAACTACTTATGTCATCGCTTTCCAGCTATGAATTTCATCCTTCCATAACTAGGTTAGCTTCTTTATTCAGTTATATTCACGTAATTTTTCAATATTTATGTTAACCATACGTCAAAAGATCATGTACATCATTTTCCACTCTATGACTAGATAAAGGTTGCATATGTCAATGATTAGAAGCTTGCATCACTTCGATCTTGTGTACACAACCTGGGACACTGGAGCCCATCTCAAAGCCTGGCATAGATGATCGTACAAATTGGTATGAATTGTTTTTGTTTTTTTTTGGAATAGTCAATGACATATGCAGTGTTGGATGATGATGTGCTGCACTTTAATGTTTTGTTGTTGTTGTTTGTTGTTGTTTTTTTTGTCTGGATATGATGACAAGAGGTTAGTGAGAGGAATTAATGCGCAGTTGAACTATTACATTTTCATTGAGCTTTCAAATCTCCAGAGTGATAATTGCATGAATCAGTCTAATTAAATGTTTAAAAACATATTTGTGCACATGTATAGTCACACTTAACACTGAAGGAATATTGGCAGTTTTATCTTTAATAAAACTTTTTTTTTTTTAGTTTACACAACTGGAAATGCTTTTCGTATATTATGACATATTTAATTATGTGTGGAGTAAATCTTTTATAAAAAAAAGTTGTATGAATAATGTTAATAATATTCTGTACATTATTTTGTGTAATATTTTTGTTTTCAGATTTCAATAAAAATAGTAGCTGACAACTAGTTTATTATAACTGATACTTTTTTTTTTTTACTCAACAATAATCAATAGCGTCGAAGACTTAAAGACACTGTGTGTTTAGTAATTAATTTGTGTTTCTTTCTTTCTTTTGCTGTCCTTGTCTAATTTATTATTCGCATAACAGTCCAGAACCTGCGGTTTGGTTTGTTTTGAATTTCAACGAGGATTATCTGCGCTAGCCGTCTCTAATTTATCAGTGAAAGACTAGGTGGAAGGCAGCTAGTCAACACCACCCATCGCCAACACTTGGGCCGCTCTTTTACCATCGAATAATGGGATTGACCGTAACGTTATAACGCCCTCACGGCTGAAAGGGCGAGCATGTTTGGTGGAACGGGGACTCGAACCCGCAGATTGCGAGTTGAGCGCCCTAACTATTGGCATGGCCTACGGGTTTATCCGGAAACTTTTGACTCTGAGACGTCAGCGTACCAGCCAGAACGCGACTTGTGTGTATGGCATTAATTAAACCTATCTTTTTTCATATTAAAAAACCACCCAAAGCTGTCACTGCTAAAACTACCAAATGTTATAACATTGTAATTTTAACATTTCGCACAAACAACAGCGATAGCCAGTGAGGTAGTTGAGGCCAACTTCACGCTATTTTCGAACGGACAAATGTGAATAGAACACTAGGCATTTTTGTTGACATTTTAAACTCTTAATCTATTCTGAGTCATGTGTCTCAAGTATTGAACGTAACATAATAAATTTATATCACCTGCAGTATTAGCATCCGATTGTTGTTATGAGATTCTCCTAAAGTTAATGGAACGATTCTGAGGATCAAATAAAGGTACGGCCACAATGATTAGAACGTGCTTGAAGTGGAATCAACAACCAAATTGTTCTCCAGTGTACATACATAAAGGTCAGTGATGTGAATATTACATTAACCGTCATTTTCTAACAAACTCACTGTCTACGTAATTCAAGATTCCTTGCTTCGGGATAATACTACACCATTTTCGTGTTTTTTTATGGCGTCTGTTTAGCCGTGTTTCGCGCCACATAAAAGCGGGACTTAAACATTTTGTTGTTGTGATGTAAAAATGGCGTCTGAGAAAATTTTAGAAACATGCCGTTCTGCTTATTTAATTTTCTTATTCGCCCTAGGTACTGCGTACATTAGGATTAGTGGGTCTCAAATTAGTGTTTTATGTTTGAAAACGAATAATATCTTTTAATTGTATTAATATGATGGCCTGTACTGTGACGCTGTCTACAATTTGTAGTACAAATTCAGTTGAATAAATTCTCATCTCATAATATATATATATATATGTGTGTGTGTGTGTGTGTGTGTGTCAGCACCATGAATATATTGTTATTCAAGGTATCAAAATCAAGCCTTTCAAGAGTAATATTCAGCTCGTAACCCACCTTATTCCATGTGATCAAATGTATTATTGATAAATTACTTATTATATCATATTGATTATCCAATAAATTTGTTTAACCACTAATAAAACTCACCCAGATTTCTATTTCGTCTCGTACCTTGAAGCTAAAAGTCTTCCGTGAAATATCATTTCTCCACAGACGAGTTAACAAAAGTGACATTTATTCCTGTTGTTTTAACATTCTCTTTTCAATCTATATTCATAATATTACAGATTATCTGTTCACTGAAAATACACCCATCCATAACTTTAGTACTTAAGCCTCGGCGTTTAATAATAACATTCCTGTTAATTGACAAAATATTTCCACGAGTTTAACCAACCGCTCTTCTTCTCCACGTTTTAATTTTCGCTTTTAACCTTCACAACTCGCAAAAAAAACAGACCAATGTCATAACTTGACTGACTGGTTTAGTTACCTTCGTACCTCTTCTATTCTGTTCAGCGTGTCTACTTCTAAAAGGTAAACAGGTTTCTGCTGGAACGTAAATCTTCCTAACATATACAGTTGTAATCATAATATTTAGCCAGTGTCGCTATTTATTTTAAAGTACCTTTATACTTATTGTGTTAAGGGTTTAATATATAGCAGATGTGATGTACATAATGCAACGAAGTTTAAAATGTTTACACGTAATTGATATATCACTTTTACATACTTATTACGTTCACTTTATTATGGGGCCCGGAATGGCCAACCCGCAATCTGCGGGTCGCGGGTTCGAATCCCCGTCACACCAAACATTTCAGCCGTGGGGGCGTTATAATGTGACGGTCAATCCCACTATTCGTTGATAAAAGAGTTGGCGGTGGGTGGTGATGACTAGCTGCCTTCCCTCTAGTCTTAGACTGATAAATTAGGGACGGCTAGCGCAGATAGCCCTCGTGTAGCTTTGCGCGAAATTCCAAACAAACAAACAAACGTCATGAATAATTGCACACCTTGATGATTACGTCGTCTTTCAATATACAGAGGCATCTCAAAAGTAAATAGATACCATGATGTTTATTCAATAGTCACTTATTTAAGAAAGGCATCCAACGGCTCCCATGGCCAAGTCGGTCACCTGATATGAACATGTCTGGGCCATACCTGCTCGAGCAGTGAGAAGAAGTTTCAGAAAACCAGCGTCTCGTGGAGAGCTACTTGATGTTTTGCGTGCAGCCTGGATCAAGATCCTACAGGAAAAAATTGCAGAACTCGTCGATTCCATGCTAGGGGCAAATCGACCAAATACTGATGAATATTTGTAAACATTTTTGTCAAGTTGATAATGTGAGATAAATGACTATTGAAAAAATAATGGTGTCTATTTACTTTTGAGATGTCTCTGTCGTATACTTTTACCTCTAGTAATGTAGTAGTGTCTAACTTTCAATACTGTCTTACATGAATTTCCAAAAGCAAGCTAGATCCTGTCGGTAGGGAGCTAGATTCGCAATCTGCGAGTACGGAGATCGAAACCCGACGCCGAACATGCTTGGCCTTACAGCCGTGGGGTCGTTATTATGTAACAATCAGTTCCACCATTCGTCGATAAAGATTTGGTGGTAATGGTATTGACTATCTTTTTACTCTCTAGTCTAGTCCCCTAGTGGCTCAGCGGAAAATCTGTGGGCTTGTAATGCTGAAACCTAGGTTTCGATACCAGTGATGGGTGCAGCACAGGTAGCCCCTCGTGTAGCTGTGTGCTTATTGATAAACAAACAAATTCTCTAGTCTATCATTTCAAAATTAGGGACAGTTAAAGCAGATAGCCCTCGAGCAGCCTTGCGCTAACAAATAAAATTATGCATTATATTTTCCATATGCATGTTTTATTAAATTTAAAACACTTGCAACAATGTTTATAAATGTTTTCGTATTACCCACGTTGTGAATATTTCTACTTGGCAACGACATGTTCCTTTAAGAATGTCACAAAAAATTAAACGTTTTTTCGTAGTTTTTTTATTCGTACAGCTGGTTAAAATTCTGTATAATGTAAATGCCCTTTTCTTTTGTACCACTGTATTATATACTTTTTGAATTACAAATCGTAAATTATATTAAACAAAAATATATATATGTAAATTATTTTAATAAAGAACTGAAAAGACATTATATAGTGTAATACAGCTAAGCTTTCATAGATTTTATTTTCCATTAAGCGTATTTACAGTGAGGTTGAACGCTTTGAACTGTTAATTAACAACAAGAAGAAAAAAGTTTTCCTAAGGTTTTTAACCCTTATGGCGCTAAAGCTACGATAATATATAGTCATTGCTTGTCAATGCAATCTCTGAGAAAAACTAAAATTTAGTTAAACATCCTGAATGAAATTAATGAGCCTCAATGTGTCAAGGGCGCGAGTTTGCCCTGTAGAGCGCTGGATTTCGGAGTTGGCCAGCCGGGTTTGAATTAATGCGATACCACAAAATATTTTCAGCAATTTATATTGCAGGTACGTCATAAGAGTGACAGTCCATCCTTTAGCATCAATGGTAATTTGTAGGATGCTTCTGAATGGCTCCCTTCCCTCTGGTCAGTATATTTTAAGATTAGGGACGCATGTTCATACATGTGTGAGACCGCACATGTATTTATTTACACATTGTCACTTAGATCAGTAACTTACAACAGACAGTTCACGCACAACTTATTTCGTTAATTATCTTGGGTTAGCTGTTATGTGTCAATAACAGTGGTCTGTAAAGTTCTACTATCTATTAGCTGGCAAATTCATAAGCTTGTCTTTTCAAGCATCACAAAATAAATAATTACTGGTAAAATTCAGCTAAACTAAAACGTTTTAGCAAGAATTCCATAAGATGAAATTGATATTGGTGCTGTCACTACAGTATATATATAAATATATATCTAGAGGAAAGACAGCTCCTTCACTGCATACAGAAAAACTATATATACAGTTAAATGTACTGGAGGTAATCTAGTGAGGATCGTGCAGTATGCTACCTAGAACTCTTGCCACTCAGTTATATCAAGCAAAATACCCTCTTGAAACATCAGATCTTGTTTCATTTAAGAAAATCACTCGGCAGCTGGAAAAGCAAGGGTTGCAATGTCCTTTCAGTCATTGATTTTTCAACCACGTGACTGTCTTAACTTATTATAATCGATCAGATATCACCCAATATCCTAGTGGTATCTCTCATTGTGAAATTATATTTGATAGCTTGAAAGTAAAGATTAATAAACCATTTGGACTCTGTCAATCTCACGATTAACAGATTGTCCTAATTTATGATAATTAAGCAGCTATCATTCGCTATCTGATAGACATCTCTCAATGAAATGTTGCTCAATAGCCAAGAAAGTAAGGGTCATACTGCTCTATTAATCGATCTTTTGAAACTCTGGCTGCTATCTACAGTTGTGCAAACTACTGATTAACTAGGTATTACATCTACTTACTTCAGCTGTCCTAATTCATTATAATCGAATAGTAACCGTAAAATGCAGTCCATATATTTTATCAGAAAATATCACCAAGTAATTTAGAAAGCAAGGAATACTACTTCCTTCAAGTCAGTGATTCTACAATAAGTGACTATATAGCTCTATATCAATTAGAGGCCAATAATATTGTCACGTAGATCATTAACTTACAACAGACTGTTGACTATATCAGACCTTATAGTTCCATATAACTATTAGCGCTACACTTTATAATGGGAGGCTTGTGCAGGAAAATTGCAGGGCAAATCTGAATTTAAGCTAAGGAAATAAATAGACTGTATGTGTATTATAAAGTGCAAAACAATCTTTATTTAAAACGCTAAGCACAAACATGATTGTGTGTACTTGCATAGACATTGGACAGTCACCTTCCTACCAGAGGAGTTCAATTCAGTGGTTCAACTGACACTCATCGGAAACAGTCTTTTCTTCTTATCCAACACTTGATTGGGTCAAGCATTGAATCATGTGGATTCAGCGTCAGGTACTGCCTGTTCCAAAGCCTGTTCATTTCTGACAATGCCCTGTATAAAATGGTTAAGGAAGTGGTCGAGACAACTGAAGGAGAAACCTACTTAGCCTTGCACATCATAACCCTTTTTCCCACAGACTATTGGTCAATACCAGGCTGAGACATCCTAAACACTTGGAGGTACACTCAGGAACTCCTACCCTTGGATGAGTAGTTGGTTCCTGGTTCATAGGGAAAGAACGACAAACTGCCATTGGCTCTATATAACCCAAGGCTTTTCTATTATCCATAGTCGCCATAGTAGGATACTTTTTGGCTTAGACAGGCTCGTGACTGCCGCATGTTTTCCTTTCTTCACCATTTGGTTTGCACCATCTCAGTTGTTAGTGAAAGAGCTCCTGTTGGCAAACTTCGTCTACCAATGGAACCCCCAGTCTCTCTCTCTCTCCTTTTTTTACTTATCCATGCTTCCTTTGCTCTGAGGTAGATCCTCAGGGGGAGAAATCGATTAGCCATTCTAGATGTATCATATTTTGACAGTTCTTCTTCCTGAATCTGTAGCAACAAAAGAAAGAACTCGTGGACCTTTGCGGCATCATTAAGTTATGTACAGGAGAGGACTTCTTCTAAACCAAAAAACTCTTTTAGACAACCATTTGTCTTCAGTGACCTTTAAAGCTGTGAAAATTTTAATTTCCTCAAAACAAAACATTTTTTTAAACTCGAACACAGAGAGTGTAGTATTTTGAGGGTCCACTTTATAATGGGAGGCTTGTGTAGGAAAATTGCAGGGCAAATCTGAATTTAACTATATGACTGAATTTAAGCTAAGGAAATATATAGACTGTATATGTATTATAAAGTGTAAAACAACCAATATTTAAAATGCTAAGCACAAACATGATTGTGTGTACTTGCATAGACATTGGACAGTCACCTTCGTACCAGAGAAGTAAACCAAGTAACAGTTACATCCCTCGAGATGACATTCTGTTGGTTAATCTCAAACCAAATAGAACTTTTGTATTCTGCTTAAAACTAATGCTCTGTACCAAACAGGAAACCTTGGTTTTACCCATAAACAACTAGCACATGTAACTTGTAATTCTGTTACAACATACAATAGCTGTAAATTTTAGATATTATCTACATATCCAGTAATGGACATTACTGTCTATGAAATAATCTACACAATGTACGGGGATGCAGCAATATCCCCTTGGTCAAAGTATCTACTGAACAACAAAGAATAAAGGAAGATAGAATGAAACAGCTCATTAGTTTTCTGGATCACATGTTTATGCCAAACTACATAGAATCAGACTAAATTAAAAGTTTTGAAAGTTTCCATATTAATAAAAGATGGTGGAAAATACATGATATACTGCATATTACAAGAGTTTAAGTTAAGGGTGATACACAGTCAGGCGAGACACAGAAAAAAACTGCAGTAAGATATCCTATGGTCATAGCACCAAACTTTTTGCCTATCTGCTATGTGGTATTTTGAGATTGCAGTGATGTACCCTGAGAGTGACAAGGTATTGCGGAATAACGGAATATATTCACTGCAATATAATTCTGTATTCTCTGAGTAACTGAGTTAATGGGAAATAAAGAGAAGCAAATTTATAATCACAATAAACAATTTTTATTTAAAACAAACACATTATACATTCAAACATATTATACTTTGCACAATGGACGATCATTTTTACTGGAAGGTTATGTTTGAAGCTGCTACAGTTTATTCAGACCAGACTGTAAGCAAGAGGCCCGACATGGCCAGATGGTTAGGGCGCTCGACTCGCAATCTGCGGGTCGCGGGTTCGAATCCCCGTCACACCAAACATGCTCGTCCTTTCAGCCGTGGGGGCATTATAATGTGACGGCCAATCCCACTATTCGTTGGTAAAAGAGTATCCCAAGAGTTGGCAGTGGGTGGTGATGACTAGCTGCCTTCCCTCTAGTCTTACACTGCTAAATTAGGGACAGATAGCGCAGATAGCCCTCGTTTAGCTTTGCGCGAAATTCATAACAAACAAACTGTAAGCAATGACAGACTTACCCAGAGTGACGAGCACTATTTACATGATTTATTATTTGCAATGAAACTTAAAAAAGGTAATTACCATAGGAAATCATCCGACTACCAGTAGGAAATGTAATTTTCTAACATCACATATTAGAGGTGAACTTCAGCTGCCTTTCTCAAGGGGAGTCAAAATTTAGGGTGCTACTCTAGGTGAATGACGCAGAACAAAAAGTAATAGAGCAAAATGAATTTAATGACTCGTGACCAATATATTATGAGGAAACGACAGATACCTGCGCAAATAATAAATCCTTAAAATTTCATATTGTTACGTCTCTGTATGTTTGTTTGTTAATTTTTCTGCGATACAAGTCCTTTCTTAAATAAAACTTGTTTATTCTTCCTCAATACAACTTTGCAATACACTTAATTTTCACAGTTACTTCGACTTAAACACACACTATAATTCATAACAATTCGCTCACGTTCTACTGCGCTTGACTCAATTGTATGTCTCCGCCTTCAGCAACTATAGTTCCGATCTCTGTATCTGCTATCCTCTGTTCCCACCGACCGTAACTGCTGTCCTTGGTTCCCTACTCTCTCTCTTTCTCTGCTCCCGTCTAGTGCACTTATATACGATAATACCGCCTCTTCTAGAACTTTCTAGGCATTCAACACGTGCTACCAGAATCACTTGACTTCCGCTGTCGTAACACACTAGCGTTTATCGCGAATCTTCTAGAATACTCGTCACGTGACCCCCGCTGTCGTAACAATATTGTTGTAGTATATATATTTTTAATTTTTTAATGTTTTCTTCACTAGAAGAAGTTTTTTCTACGATGTAATAATTATGTGAAGTGCAGAACTTTCATGGAAATTTAGACCCTTTGGGAACTCAAATTTTACTATAGTATTTGAGTATTTAAAAAAATAGTACAATATAAAAATGTGCCAGCTTGAGTAAGTTAGAATTGATTGACCAGTTAATGTCAATTAGAGAGTCTGTTCATGAGTGATTGAGTTAGTGAATCAGTCAGCGTGTTTGTTATCAATTTATTAATGAGGAAATTTTACAAGTACGTTAATAATTAAGTTTATTTGTGAGTTAGGTGTACTATTATTCTTGGAATTTCTGTTGAAACGTTTTTTATTAAGTTAGGCCTACCAATGAATATAGCCTGTAGCTTGCATAGAATGTTATTGAATAAATAAATAAATTCATTATTGTTAATTGGAAAGGACTTTGCATTATTTTTTACCAAATAATACAAAGAATCCATCATATAAGAGAATATGTAACAACACTAAATTAGTGCAAGGATGTAGAAAACGTGTGCTCATACACCATAGTTTACGAACCATTATCTTCCAATATAAAGTGGTAGATATTTTGGTTTATAAAAGGTAGAAAATATTTTTAGCTTGCAAAATTCATAATATCTTGTGGACGAATTTCATTATATTTTCCAATATATGTTCTTAATGTGTAAAAGAAAACTACATACCCACAAATTATGTTAAAAATTTCAATGCTGTTATAATACTATGAACGTTTTCAATTACTATTCTGTAATCTTTTCAATTTCAGTAAAAACATAATTTTGCAAAAGTTTAATGTTTGTATTTAAGAAATAATCATTTGAATGTTAGTGCTTTGCATGTCATCCTATGATTGACTGCTTGGTTATTGTATTTGTATATTCCTCACATACCCTTAATTATGACAATGAGTAAATAAGATTCATAATTAACAAAAATTATGTCATTTATCAATGAAACACTGTATACTTAAAATGTAAGTAACTGCACATGATGTAGCATAATTATGCGCCACAGCCTTATGTTAATTTTTATAATACAGTTATTAAAGTAGAACAATCCTCATAATTCAAATTTCTAGGGATCCAACAACCAGCTCTACTTATCAGGAACTTTAACCATTAGAGCTGCATAAAAAAATTACAATACCATATATTGCTATTGCTCTACAAAAATAATTTAATTACATTTAATGTATTGCTGTAAGATGTATTTTCAGTGATAACTGTTATGGTGTGAGCACTTTTAAAATTAGACCTACATTTAGTTGCGGAGGCTTATCTTGAAAATTTTATTTGTGAAATTAGGTTTACATATGAACATGGCTGAAACAAAAGTTATTGAAGAATACAAATATTTTGTTTTTGCTACGTTGATTGGACTTGGCATTATTTTTGCCAACTAACCCAAAAGAACCCGCCATATGATAAAATACGTTACAACAGTATTGTAAAATATTGCTTGTACAAAATAACCAACTGCTATGTCCTGCAGTTGGAACATTTATATTCATCCTGGTTTCACTATTAAATTATATAAACCTCACTATTACAATTAATTCACCCAAATTTTGCACTGATTACATTTTACCTATTCAACGGCCCGGCATGGCCAGGTGGTTA